CTGGGTCTGCCGCTGTGGAGGCCACTCACCAGACCCCCCAACCTATGCCCCCTCCATTTTTCTTATCTAAGTGGGGGATGTTAATTGCTCTGATTCAATTCATATATGTACAGTGCTTTAGCAGTACCTGGCATGCTGGATGCAGCACGCAGGCCTGTAATTCCAGTGACTGGGAAGGCTGAGGCAGGAAGATCTCAAGTTCAAGGAGAGTTTCAGCAACTCGGAAAGACCTTCAGCAATTTAGCAAGATCTTAACCCAAAATAAAACATAAAAGGAGCTGAGGATTTGGCTCTGTGGCAAAATGCCCCTGGGTTCAATCTCCAGTACCCCCCAGAAAAGGACCTAGTACAAAATAAATGCCCAGTGACTACTGGCTTTTTAAATAAATTCCCAGCTAGTAAATATGTTTAAGTGCTAGTAAATCTGCTAAATCTTTTACATTCATCATGATCATTATGTTTAATTTCCACAACTCCTCCCATTTTACAGGTGAGAAAACAGAGGCTCACATAGGTGAAGTGACTTGCTCGAGGCGACAGGACTTCCTCCCGGTTTATGAGGCCCCTGCCCCACCCCCTGGCAGCCGACCCTGGGGACTCAGGTCACACCACAGCCAGGTACTGACTGCAAGTCCCTGCTCACCAAAGGTGGACCATGAGTCCCCTGGGGGAAGAAGCCCCCAAGTTCAGCTGGGCTGGGGCCCTGGCACATCTAGGACCTCATCCCTCCAGTGCCCTTGAGCTTCCTCTTGAGCCCTGGTTACCAGAAGCCCTGGCCCAGGTGGGGCGGGGGCCAACGGGTGACAATGACCGATTTAGAAAGTAAAGTTGCTTCTCAAACAAATAAGAAAGAAGAGGAAAGAAAGAGCCGGCCTGCCCGCTTCCTGCCCCACTCTCTCCCAGCACCTGGGGCCCAGCTGCTGGTTTTCACTGCGTGTTTGCTCATCCTGCCGGAGGAGGCCCTTCTTAAAGCCCCAGGGCCCTCCCCGCAGAGATGGATGATTACTGAGCCCGTGGAGATGTGGCAGGCTTCTTGCTGCTGCATGGTATTGTCTTGAGCATTGTTTCAAACAACAATACCCATGATCATCCCGCCCCGTTTCCTGCATTTGGGAGAGGGGGCTGCCAGCTCCGCTTGGGCGCAGCCTTCTTGGCTGTGCACTGTCTGAGGTCTGGAGGCCTGAGCGGGTCACTCCTTCTCTCTGGGCCTCCATTGCTTTGTCTGCAAGATGGGGATGGGTGAGGTGAGGGTTACTGAGGCCAGCATGGCATAGAAAGCCCAGAGCACAGCGGCTGTGACAGCTGCTCTCTTGGATCCCTGTGGAAGCCAGGGTCACCCAGGGACAGAATCCAAGAGCCTCCCTGGATGTGTTGGAAAGCTTTTGGACTCAGAGAGGCAGAGTCACTGTGGCTGCTTCAGTGCATTTCACCTAGACCTCAATCAGAGGGAGCAGAGGTGACAGCCGTCCGGATTCTATAGCAGAGGAAGCAAGACACAGACAAATGACCTGTCCAAGGCCGGCAGAGCTGGTGGGTGCAGATCCGGCTGCACCCCACCTGCCTGGCTCCACCGTGTGCTCAGAGCTGCCCTGGCATGGGTGGGGGTATCTCTGAGGCTCTGCTTTGCTTTGTGACCCTGGACAAGTCACTTGCCTGGGTTCTCATCTATGAGACAAGCAGCCCAGATACCTGCCCCCAGAACTGACAATCCTCAGGGAGCTTCGCGCTCAGAGCAAGACAAAGAGTGACCACGCCAGGGACCGGGAAGCCAGGGCTGCTGGGCTATAATTAGTGTTAATTTTAAAGTCACAGGCGAGAGCCCAGCCAAGAGGATGCTGAGGGCCTGCCCAGCTCTGCACATCTAAATCCTGTGGTTGCAGCTGGGGAGTGATTCCGGGAGGCACCTGGTGAGAGGTGGCTCCACCCGTTGGGGCTAAAAAAAAAAATCCCTGAGTCTGCCACCGTGCAATCTGCCAGTCACCTGCTCTGACTAATGGCAAACTCTCCGACCCTGCTTCTCTGCCTCCACTTCACCCCCATAAGCTGTGTGGCTCTGGAGAAATCCGTTGACCTCTCTGAAACTCAGGTGGGGGACATTGGCCTTGCAGAGTTTTCCACAGTAGAAGCAATGCCTTACCATACAGTGTTGCTAAGAGACCGTGAGGACCTGGGCGCTGGGGCCCACCTGTGCTCCAGACCCGGCGCTGCCACTTCCTGTTGTGTGATGTTGGGCAGGTCACTTGGACTCTCTGAGCCTCGGTTTCCACCACTTGAGACACAGTAGTGCTTCAGGAGTAATAACTGGTTGGTGAGACCGTTTACTGTGCTTGAGAACAATTTGCAGAGATCCTCAGACACGCTGGGGTCCTGTGCTCTCTCTTATGCAGCACCTCTCTGTTTTCCCCTCCAGAACTTCTCTCTGCCCTGGTTAACCTGTTCTGTGCCCTGATGGGTGACCTCTGCAGGTGACATCAATACCCTTTATCCTCTGCATTCTGGTTGAATGGGGAGGCTGGGAAGAGGACAGGTGGCGAGTGGCACTGGTCTTTATTCCCCTGGTTCCTTCCTGCACGATTGCCCCACAGTGCTGTGTCCCACCCCCTACAGCTCCTGTGGGTGGCCCTGTGCCTGCATCTCTGGCCCAGGTCCAGGTAACTTCTCCCTCCCACCCCCAGGCCAACATGGTAACAGCTTCCGTGCTCCATGGTACCAGCCCTGAGACAGTGCGCCATCCTTCCTGCTATCCTGAAACCCTGCCCAGGCCTTGGCTGATTGTCTTTGATTCAATTCTTTTCAAATTAGTCAGTTTGGGACAGGCACGATGGCTCACAGCTGTAATCCCAGCAACTCGGGAGGCTGAGGCAGGAGGATCTCAAATTCAAAGCCAGCCTCAGCTACTTAGCAAGGCCCTAAGCAGCTTAGTGAGACCTGTTTCAAAATAAAAAAAAAATATTAAAAAGGGCTGGGGATGTGGCTCTGTGGTTAAGCACCCCTGGGTTCCATCCCCAGTACAAAAAAAAAAAAAAATAAGCCAGTTTGGGTGTGCATCTCTTTCCTGCCTCTGGGCCCTGGTGTGGCTTTGGTGTGACATGTGTTGTGTTCATCTAGGACTCCAGGGATGGTCAGATAATAAAAACCCATGCAGCTTTCACGTGTATCTATTTACCACTGTATCCACTTCTGCCAAGTGTTTGCCATGAGCCAGGCTCCATGCAGGGAGCCAGGGATACAGATGACCAAGGGACAGTGTCTTACTGAGCTCCTGGGCTGGTGGCACACCTGCACAGCCAACTACAATATGAATAGCTCAGAGCCTTAATGGAGACACATACAAGCCCTGTGGCAAAGTGGAACAAAAGCCACCAACCTGGGAGAGGCTGGGAAGGCTGCAGAGCCTTTTGAGCAATATCTGTGCACGGGTGCGCTCGCTCTCTCTCTCTCTCTCTCTGTATTAGGGGTTAAACTCAGGGGTGCTCAACCACTGAGCAACATCCCCAGCCCTTTTTAAAATATTTTATTAGAGACAGGGTCTCACTGAGTTACCTAGGGTCTTGCTAAGTTGCTGAGGCTGGCTTGAACTTGAGATCCTCCTGCCTCAGCCTCCGGAGCCGTGAGCCACTGTGCCCAGTCTTTTTTCTCTTTTCATAATGTATTTTATTTAGCCCAATGTTTCAAAATGTTATCATTATGTAATCTTGTCAATTATGATCCAGACACAAAATCTTGAGGTTTTTACATTCCCCCTCCCCGAGTCTTCAAGCTCCTGTGTGTGTTTGACACTCGGCGCGTTGCCGCTCAGACTGACCACATTTCTAGGGCCCAGCAGCCACAAGAGACAGGCAGCCGGGTGGCATTTGATCCGATCCTCATGACGGCTCTGGGAGGTAAATGGTGCTGTTCTTCCATTTGACAGATGGGGAGAAGGGCGTTAAGTCACTCACCTAAGGTCATTGAAACTCCCTGGGTTGAAACCCACATCTCTGTCTCCAAAGTCTGTCCTCTGGACTGGCTTCTCATCCCCAGGGGGCAGCAGTTGGCAGGCAGAAAAGCCAACATGGATCCGAGGTCCTCAGACTCCATCCTGGAATGCTCCTCCTGTCACTGCCTCTGCGTGGCGGAGAAAGGGGGAAGGCAGTCACCCTTCAAAATGGGTTCTGATCCTGTTCTTCTGGAATCCCCGAGATGCCCTGGAGCAGGGTGGCAGAAGAGAGCGGGAGATTGCTGGCGAGCCAAAGGATGCTCTCGGGAAGGGGGAGGGTGCTACTGGGGAGAGGCTCAGGCTGCCCTGGATGGGGGGGAGGTAAAGCAGCTCCATCAGGCCCATCAATGTAGCCGGCAGGAGTCTGGAGCCGTGGCACACGCCTGTCATCCCAGTGACTCAGGAGGCTGAGGCAGGAGGATCCCAAGTTCAAGGCCAGCCTCAGCAATTTAGCAAGACCCTGTCTCAAAATAAAATGGGCTGGGGCTGTGCTCTGTGGTAGAGTGCCCCTGGGTTCAAACCCCAGTACCAAAAAAGTAGCCGGCAGATCAGCTTTGCCAGGGTCACAGGCAGCAGTTCCTTCCCAGCCCAAACACCCAGAACCGCTTGCTCCTGGAGCCTAGTGGGGGGCGGAGAGTGTGCAGGAACTCGGCCGGGTGTTCTCAAACCAGGCGCTGGGGGAGCTAAAATGGGACCATGACGTTAAGGTGTTCTGATGGGCAGGCCCCAGGCCTAACATGGAGAGAGTCCTGGGAGCTCCCAGGCCTGGTCCAGGCTCTGGAGGGAAACCGGAGCCCCGGAATTCTGGAAGCCAGGCTGAGTCTGCGACTCCAGGGTGGATGTCTGGTGCTAAAAACAGTGACCAGTGGCTGCTTACCCACCGGCCCCTTCCCAGTCTTCACTCACTCGGCATCTGTCCCCTAAGATCCTCCATCCACACCCCGAGAGCCCACCCCACCCTTCCTGCCCCTGCTCCTGTCGCCCCCCCCAAGACCCCACCCACTCTGCACGTGGCCTGTGTGGGATGGGGGACCCGCAGCCCCGAGCAGCGCCACATCTTGCTTTCAGACCTGGCGAGATGACAGGCCCTTCGTCTGAGCAAAGGAGGCAATGTGGGAACAGAGGGTCCCCAGAGCAAGGGACACCCATGATGCCTCCTAAAGCCAGAGGAAGGAAGACTGGCTGAGGAGCCGGGCAGTGAGTTGGGTGGGCAGGGACACCACAGAGCCTGCAGAGGAAGCGGATGGGAGGCCACCAAGGAGGAGGGCTGGCCTCCAGCCAAGACTTCCAGGGTTCTCACGGTGTCCACCTGGGAGTCTGCAGCAGCCCGGCCCTCTCAGCTCGGCACAGCGTGTCCAGTGTCACCTGGAGGGCATCAGGGTTGGTACCTTTATTGTAGGCTCCAGAAAGTCCCATGGAGAGTTAAGGGGGTCAGAAGTGAGTCTGGTGACCTTGTCCCTTGACTCTACCCTTCTCTCCCCCACATCAGCTCAGCTGCTGTCAGATCGCTCTCGAAACCCCCAGCACCTGACTCAGTGCTGGGCCCAGAGCAGGGGACCTTCCCGACATCTGCGGGGCCCCTGTGCTGTCCCCACACATGATCAGATGAGCAGGGATGGTGGCACTCCCTGGACTGTTCGTGTCACCCCTACAGCAACCCCAGGGGACTGGAACTGCACCCCTTTTCACAGAAAAAGAAACAGGGAGGAAAGGGCTTGCCCAGGGTCACATGGTGACCACGGCCCTGACTCTACACCCTGTCCCTGATCCAAGACATTTCTGACACCTCACGTAGCCGTCTAGGCCTCCAGTGGACCCTGTGCCATTGAAGTCCGGGGCTACAGACGGGTAAGGTCAGCAGGGACAGGAGCCAAGCAGGACGGGGAGGGGGTGTGGTGGGGAGGACCAGGGAAGGGACCTTGGAGATTGTTGTCATCTGCAACCTGCTCTGCCGCACCCAGCGGTGGAAAGTGTGTGTCAGAGGAAGCTGCTGCCTGGGGACTGGGGGGTGTGCGTGGGTGACAGCATGTGGGGTCACACAGGAGGCAGGATGTGCGGAGCTGGGGGCCAGGTCCCCGAGCTGGAGCAGGCCTGGGGTCGTGCCCCGCCCCGCCGCGCCCTGTCCTGGGGCTCACTTTCTCCCACTTTCAGTTCGGGCAGGCCGTCCTGCGACAGCCGTCCCAGAGCCTCTGGGGTCACTGCCAATACTCTGCTCCACTTCGTAAATAAATATTTCCGAAGCACCTACTGTGTGCTCAGACATGGGGCTGCAGTCCCCCCTTCTCCACCAGGGGAGGCGCACAGGTGGAGACAGGAGGAGGCAGGTGCGATGCTCCTGGGTGACACCATCCAGTGGGCGGCCACCAGGGAGGCGCCTGGAAGCCGAGCAGGAGGGAGGGAACCGTGACAGCCCTCCAGTGCTCACTGCCACCCAGAGGGAAGGACTCAGCCCTTGAAAGGCCCCCCATGGGGGCCTGTTTCCCAGGTGGGGACACTGAGGCCTCGAGAGATCAGAACTTGCCCGAGTGATGTTTCCAGATGCCAGGAAGCAGCAGAGGCAGGATTTGAAACCCGGCCACCTGCTCCGACCTGCTCCACTGAGGAAGGGGAAGTGGGAACAGGTGCTGGGGTGGGGGTGGGGGGGCAGCAGGAGGCTGGGCCACGGGAGGCCTTGCGGAGCTGGGGGCCAGGCCAGGAGCAGCCGGGGCCAGCAGAGTCCCTGAAGCACTGCCCTGGGGAGTGCTCTGTGTCTATTCTAGAAAAATACCCTCCTTCAGAGGGGAGCACAGGGTCTAAACAAGCAAAAATCCAGTGTGATTTAATTCCAATGTTCTCTTTGTTTCTTAGAACTTCTGTGACAAAGTATCACAAACTGAGTGCCGTAGCCCAGCGGGCTGTTTGTCTCCAGCTCCGAAGGCCAGCAGACTGACCAGGGTACCTGGAGCTGTGTCCCCCTGACAGCCAAGTCCAGTCCTTCCTCACCCCTCCCCAGCTGCTGCTGGTGGCCGTCAGCCCGGGCCTTCATGGGTATCCAGCCATATTGGATCCAGGCCCCCTCTGCCCCCCCCATTAGTCTGTCCTCATCTGAACTGGTGACATCCGCAGCAACCGCGTGTCCAAATCGTCACGTTCTGTGGTACTCAGTGTGAGGACTTCAACATATCATATGGTTCTGGAAGACACACCTCAATCCATAACAGATGAATCTGGGGAAAAAAAGAAAAAAAACCCAAAACTATGCAGGTCATATGTCCAAGTCTGAGATTCAGAAAATATGGCCTTGGGGCTGGCTCAGGGGTAGGCATGTGCTGAGTTCAATCCCCAGCTCAAAAAAGAAAGAAAAAGAAAGCATGGGCCTAATATATCTGTCTGCTACACAAATATTAAAGTACTTTGCTTTAATGGGTACTATATAAATGTTTGAGAGATACTTGACTTGTGGTCCCTTAAGGCCCTTAGATCTTTCTTTAACAAGTCAGAAGAATAAAATAAAAGTCCCCCGAGAACAAAGTGCACTGCCCTTTGTCCTGGATTCCTGACAGGCAGCTGTTCACTGACCTTAGCCTTCTCTCCTCTGTGGGCACCAGCTTGGGGAATGAGCCAGTCCTGAGAAGGATGGGCGAGGCCTCTGTTCCCTTCCTCACTGGACTGAGCAGAACCCACAGTCCTCAGTCGTCTCCCTTGCTTCCCCATTCCACGAGGCTCAGACTGTTCCTCTCGGACAAATCCCCACGCTGCATGCTCACACCTAGACCTGGCTCTGCACCTTTACCACGAAGCTGTTGCTCTGCTCTTCAAACTGACTTCCTCGCCACCCGCAGGAAATCAGTGTGTTCTAACATGAGTCTGATCACCTCCTTCTGGGCCCCAAACTCTCCATGCTCCCTATTGTCCTAAACTCCCCATTTCAGGGTTTGTAGGAGTTGGTCCCCAGGAGTCTACCCAGGCCTGCTGTCTCACAAGCCCTGGAGGTTACACAACTTGCATTTAAAAGAGACTGAAGGGTGGGGAGGCTCCCCGCGAAGCTCCTTCTAAGTGACTTCAAGTGCTTTCCTCTGCATCCACACCTTTGCCATGCTAATCCCTCTCCAGAGAGCCCCCTCCCCTCCCGCCCACTCTTCATCACCTCATTGTAAGACGCCTTTATCCTGATCACACGACAGAGCGCCTCTCCCTCCTCTACAGCCCTAGGATTTGGGCTAAATTTTTGTCCCCCTCTTTGGTACTGGGGATTGAACCCAGGGGCACTTTACCACTGAGCCACATCCCCAGACCTTTTTATTTTTTTTATTTTGAGTCAGGACCTCACTAAATTGTGAGGCTGGCCTCAAACTTGCGATCCTCCTGCCTCAGCCTCCTGAGTTTCTGGGATGACAGGCGTACCTCACAGGGCCTGGCTTTGGATGCACTTCTTCACGAAGCTCGTTCCACTGCACTGTGTGCTAGAGAATTTGCTCCCCTTACCTGAGAGCCAGGTACTAGCCCCAGGCCTGTGACTAAATGTCAGGGACAGCAGGTGAGAAAAACGCCAGAATGGAGAGACAGCTGCTAACTGTCTTTGTCAGTCTTGCTGTGTGACCTTGGGCAAGTCACTTTTCCTCTCTGGGCTTGTTTCCTCTTTTAGAGTGGAAATGTAGGGAAAGATATCCAAACAGGTATGAAGGCAGGAGCAAAATTCCTCTGTCTATCCCAGGTCTGGCCAGACCCTGATGGTCCTGCAAACAAAAGCTACTGGAATCCTTTATTTTGCATCAATTTGCAAGTATTTGTATGCACACTATAAGAGGCACCCCTACATTTCATTCATAGGAGGAACTGTGGCTGTCATCTAATTGATGCCCAGGGATGGAAAAGACCCACTGGTCATGGTTCCATGCAAATCTTACCTGACAGAGGCCTTTACTCATTAACAGTCCAACCCCCTCCTTTCACAGATAGGTAACTGAAGCTCAGAGAGGGAAAGTGAGGAGCCCAAGGTCACACAGCAAGTGAGATGCATAAGACTTCATCCTGGGCTTCCTTCTGCCTGTCAGGGGCTGGCGCCAGCTGGACCAAGGGGGGCTTGGTTTTCTTTTGAGGTCCTTCTCCACTCCCCCAGAATAACAAAGCTGGCTAGTGTGGCAGCCTCCACAAGCAGCACAGGAAACCAGATTGGTGTAGTGAGGCCGGTGGGGGTAGAGGAGCCTCTCAGAGGTGGCTTAGCGTTGCTTTCACCTGTTCTAAAAATAACGCACTATTAGAGATCCGCAGATGACGGGGTGGCCCGCAGGTTATTCCGCTGAGGGGAGAGGAGAGAGTGGATCCATGTGAACAAAAAGACAGCTGGGCCACTGCGGGCGGGCGACAGGTGGGGGGCCCTGGCTGGGCCCAGGAAACTCAGTGGGCAGCCCCTGTGCACAGAGGGGCAGGAGGGGGCTCGGGGCAGACACTGGGCTAGGGGACAGCAGCCCCGGGGAACAGGCCAGACTTGGATGCTGCTTCTGGGACAACCAGGTCCAAGACCTAACAGGTTCAGCAGGTAGAACCCCGCGAGTGACACAGGCACCGAGGGAAACAGCAAGAGATAAGACCACGGAGACCCCTTGGGCCAGGGTGGGCAGGGAGGCCCTGGAAGGAGTAGATAGAGAAGGGAGACCCTTGGAGAAGGGAGGGAGGGGGCACCTTCAGGGGCATGGCTCAGGGAACCCAGGCCCACGGGGAAGAGGGTATGGACCTGCCCAGAGAGGTCAGAAGGGGGCAGCGTGGGACCTGCGAGCTCCGGGAACTGCTCAGGCTTCTGGCTGATTCCAGATCCATAGGAAGCCACTGAAGCCAAACTTTCAGCAGGGAAATGGGGGTGGGGGGGGTTGGGGCATGGGGTTGCCTCTCAAAAGGCCTGCTCTGGCCAGGCGGGTGGCATAAGGATTAACTGGTCTAGAAGGCCTGTCAGTTCAGGGGTGGTGGTGCACACCTGTGATCCCAGCAACTCAGGGAGGCTGAAGCAGGAGGATCTCAAATCAGAGGCCAGCTTCAGCCACTTAGCCAGACCCTGTCTCAAAATTAAAAATACAATGGGCTGGGGATATGGCTCAGTGGTGGTGTGCTCCTACATTCAAGCCCTGAGTATAAAAACAAACAAACAAAAAAACCACCAATTAGGCAGAGGACATTGTATTCAGGCAGGAGTGATGGGGTGATGGTGACCTAGACAGACTAAGGGAAAACACAGAGCTGGATAGCTTCGACATTTGTTCTGGAGACCACGTTCACAGGAGTTGCAGACAGGTTGGACTGCGGTCGGGTCGGGGGACACACAGGTTTCTGGCCTGAGCACCTGCTGCAGTCAGCTCCCCAGGGGGACCTGCAGGCTCGAAGGCCAGGTGTGGGAATCTGGTTTGGGGCAATAAGATTGATAAGATTTAAGCAGCTGCAGACGGCCGAGGTCCTGCCCGACGCAGCTCCGCAGGCCCCAGCCGTCTGCAGGAGGCGTTGCTTCTCCCACCATGAACCCAGTCCAAGCTGTGAGCCCCAAGAAGCCAGGGACCAGCCTGCTTTGTCCCCAGCACCTATGAAGACACCTTGCACATAGTAGGTGCTCAACAAAGAGTTGGGGGGTAAATGAGGCGAAACCACCAGCTGCATGAATGGGCGCACAGACATGGTGCTGTTTAGGATCCCGGGGGCCCTGCAGCAGGTGTCTAGTAAACATTTAGGGACTTCTCTGACTTCTCTTGTCCCACCCACCTCCAGTCAGAGCCCTGCAGCTTGGCCTTCCTCTTAGGCCAAGCCAACTTTCTCAAGCTCGTCCCCTGCCCACCCCTCCCGTCACTGCCTGGTCTGGACCCCCAGCATCTGACTGCTGTGCCCTTTCTGGGTGTTCTTCCTCAGAGACCCTGAAAACACAAAGGGGCAGGCGGCCTCTCCCCTGTGCCACCCAGGACCCCCCCCCCACAGGGGCCTCCCTGCCTCCTCCTGTCCCTCCACCCTCCACACTTCAACAAGGGTGGCTGGGGAACAGTCAAACCCTGACCTGTCCCCCCCACCCCGGTTTACCCCCTCCCTCCCTGCGTTGGCTATAGCATCGTGACGTCACAGCCACGCCTGAACTTGCCCCCGAGTTCCAACGGCAGCCTCAACTCCCTGGGCCTCCTCTGAAATCTTGGCCACAGCTCCCAGGAGCACCCAGGCTTTCCGTCCCCTCTGCCCCCTCGGCCAGGCTCACCCTTCCTGCGCCTGGTCCAGTCACACTCGCCCTTGGCCATCCAGCTCCTCGTCGTCCTCCGCTGCAGTCCCTCAGGCCACCCCTGCACTCCACGGGGACTTCACTCGTGATAAGAACTGCATTTACTGAGCCCCTGCTATGTGACAAGGAATCGTTTAATTCTCACAATGACTTTAGGAGGTCATTATTGTTCCCATTTTACAGATTTAAGAATCTGAGGCCCAGAGAGATTAAGTGACTTGCCTGTGGTCACACAGCCAGCAAGTGACAGAGCCAGGTCTGAACCTAGGCAGGCTGGCTCCTGAGCTGCCATCTCGGCTGGTATGTTTGAAAGCTGTGACCGATCCCATGGCATGGGCCTGCTGGCTTGTCTGTCTCTTAAGGACAAGAACTGTGTCCCATGGCTCCTTACCCCTCACATCTGGCACAGCAGCTGGCACAGGTAGGTGCTCAATCAAGCCTCCCTTGGAAGAGCCTGAGGGAGTGGTACTTGTCATTGTACGGTGCTTTGCAGCTTCGAGCCTACATAATCTCATTCACCTTCTCAATGACACTGCTGGGCAGGGAGTATTAGACCTATTGGTCAAGTCAGGACCAGAGAGGTCAAGAAACTTGCCCAAGTCACCCAGCCAATAACTGGTGGAGATGATTCCAATGACCAGGTGTCCTGACTCCAGAAACAAGGCCAAGAAGATGTTGCTGAACCCCAACCCAATCCCAGTCCCAGAGGACTGGAGGCTGTGCTGGGTCAAGGGTCATGAATTGCTTCTCCCAGTGGCCGGCAGGGGTTTGGGGGCAGGGGCCTGCTTCCCATCTTCTGGGCCCTCAGGGTCTAAGGCTCTTCAGGGCAGGAAACTCTTCCTTGTCACAAAGCTCCAGCACCCCCCCTCGCCCCCACGCCCCAGGCCACTGGGCTCCCCTCCCCCTGGAGGGCCCTGGTAAGAGCATCCGCCTGTCCCTGAGGATCCACGGGTTCAGCCCAGCAGCTGAGATGGATGTGCAGGAAGCAGTAACAATGGATGAAAGACCCTCTGTGCCCAGGTGGGTGGGGGAGGGAGCGGCAGGAAGTCAGATCCTCCTCCTCTGCAGGCCCAGCCGGGGGCTGGAGGGAGGCTGGGCATGCCAGACGCTGCGGGGGCTTATTTGGATTCCCCAGGGATCCAAGCTGGGGAGCCCTTTGCAAACAGCAGACCGCTGGCTCTTCTCCATGGGGTGCTGAGCTCTGGACCCGTGTGACAAGAATGTCACTTTCCTTCATCGCTGTTGCTGTCCCCGGGGCCCAGCAGCAGGGCTGGCAACACCGTAAGGGCAGGATTTGTTGAATGCAGAAATTAACCCAGCACTACTAATAACTACAGAATCACAATTTCACGTGGATTTGCTTGTTGGAAACAATAAAAGGGATTCCAGATGACTCCTTTCCCCTCCTGAGCTCCTTCCGCCTGGCAAGCTGGACCCTCCGCGTTTTACGAGGTCAGCTCCTTCTCACCTTCCAGCTGTAGCTCAAATGAAGCTCTTCAATAAAAGCCTGGGGGGATTGGGCACGGTGGCACACGCCTGTAAATCCCAGAAACTCTGGAGGCTGAGGCGGGAGGATCACAAGTGTGAGGCCAGCCTCAGCAATTTAGCAAGACCCTGTCTCTAAAATATAAAGAGCTGGGGATACAGCTCAGAGGTAGAGCATCCCTGAGTTCCACCCCAGAACCAAAATAAATAAATAAATAACCAAGCAAGCTTTGGGGGCTGCTCTGACCCCCAGCTAAGGGAACCCCTTCCCTTGCCCCCTGGCTCTTGATCTCCTCTAAGGCACTTTCATGAGGGTTTAACATGGACCCTTATGTGTGAATCCCCCTCTCCCCCACAGGAAGGTAAGTGCTGAAGGGCTTCTTGCTCCTGTCCCCAGGGCCAGGCACTTAGATAATGCTCCATAAATAGTTAACTAGATAAAGAGATGACCAAGTGGATCTCGGATAGGATGTCATTCCATCCTATGATGCTCTGCAAGCTGCTTCCTGGACGGGAACAAAGGGGGTCTTGCCCATGTGCTGAAAGACTGCAGAGCCCCAACCCACAGCCTCAGCGAGCAGCTCTTCCCCAGGTCAGTGACAGTGACAGTCACCAATCAGGGCTGCGCTTCCCCCACAACAATTATTGAGTTTCATCAAAATCTGAATACACGCCTGTATAGTGCCAGCAGTTTGGGAGGCTGAGGCAGGAGGACAGAAGTCCAAATCTAGCCTCAGCAACTCAGTGAGGCCTGAAGCCACTCAGTGAGGCCCTGTCTCTAAATAAAGTACAAAACAGGGCTGGGGACACGGCTCAGTGGCCAAGTGCCCCTGGGTTCCATCCCCCCATACAAAAAACAAAAACAAAACAAAAAAACTAAATCTGCGCATGGGACTGTGAGAATGGCCACCGTCTGTCCAGCTTGCCACAGTGGTCGCTGGGGTGGGCTGGGTGGCTAACCTCACCTCTTCATTTCGAAGGTGGGAGAATCCGGGCCAAGACGGCCCAACCCAGGGCCTCACCAGCAGAGGGTCAGCAGGGCTGAGGCTCCCGGAGCCCTTCATCCACCTCTTGCTCCTTGTTTTAACAGACACTCACGGAGCCCCTGTTCTGTGACAGGCGGTACCCTGGGGACCCGAGACACAGCAGTAGCCAAAGGCTCTGGATTCAAGGGAGAAGGGCCAGCTGGGCCTCGGTGGCGCACACCTGTCATCCCAGAGGCTTGGGAGGCTGAGGCAGGAGGCTAGTGAGTTCAAAGCCAGCCTCAGCAAATGTGAGGCGCTAAGCAACTCAGTGAGACTTTGTCTCTAAATAAAATACAAAATAGGGCTGGGGAGGTGGCTCAGGGGTGGGGTGCCCCTGAGTTCAACTCCTGGTACCAAAAAAAAAAAAAGAACAGAGAAAGTCCGAGGAGGCCCAGCCGCCTGCCAGAGCCTCCCTAGTGACTTCTGCAGCCAAGTCCCTGCTTGCCAAGGGAGAGAGCAGGCCGGGGGTGGAGGAAGGAGTGTTCCAGAATCTTAAAGGCAGAGAGACAGAGAGAAAGGCTGATTTGGTCTGGGAAGGCGAGAAGCCCGCTCAGCTGAGCCTGGTGGCCCGCTCCTGGCCTGCTGTTGCCGGCCCAGGTTGGCTTGGGGCCCAGAAACGGAGCGTCTTCGGTTGGGGTACTTTGTGCCACCTCAATGGCGTGAGACCCATCAACAGAGACGGCCACAGGCCACCCAGTCACTCTGGGAGCGCGTGGGAGCCGAGCGGCTCTGCAGTGCCCGGCCCTGGGCTGGGTGCCGCGTGGGGGATTAGGCTGCAGCGTGGATTCTGGAAACGCAGGGGCCTGAACCGTGGCGGCCCCGTCCCCAGAAGTCCTCAGTGCTGGTGGGCACCCGACTACGGCCGTTGCAGCCCCGAATCCTGAACCCCTCAAGGCGGCGGAGATCAGGAAGGAGATCCACTGGCAGAGGCCCCTGCTCCCTCCTGTCTACACCGCGCTCTGCGGGGCGTGAACGTGGCCGAGCCACACAGACCTGGACTGATCCCAGCTCCACCTCAAGGTCGACGTGTAGCCCTCAGCAGGGCACTAAGTCTCTGAACCTCAGTTCCCTGTGAAACTGTAGACGAGGAGTAGCTGCCCATGGGTGCTGATGCAGAAAGTTGCCCAGCTCTTGGTATACAGTAGGTGCTTAAGAAACAGCTTCTCTGTAGCGGAGGAACCGTGTGCAGCTCAGTGAGGAGGCTTGGCCTGGTCAGAGACGGGGCTGCCCCCGCACACCCAACTCGGAGGCTGATTCCCTAACGTCCCTTTCTGCTCAGCCTGAGGCCTGGACCCGCCTGGTTCTCTCTGGCTCTGGTCTGAGAGCTGCCCTTCTCCCCCCCTGCCTCCACCTTCACATCAGGCCTCCAGCCTGCAGAATCCAGTTCTGGGTGCTCACAGCCATGACGGCACTGAGTCATGGAACATTCCAACCTCCGAGGGCCCAGGGTCAGCCCGCACGCGTGGACCTCCCCACAAGGACCGCCCCACACCTGCCCTCGCTCGCCTTGGCCTTCCAGACCCTTGTACTGCTATAGGGTGAGAGCGCTAAAGAGTTACTCCGCTGCTCAACAACTCTCCAGGGCTCCCTATCACCCTGGGGATCAAGTTCAAACTTCTGTGTTTGACATTCCATCACCCTTTCCCACCTGGCAGCAGTGTTAGCTGTACGTCTCCACTCATGCTGCCCTGCTTCTGCCCCCAGGAACATCACGCCCCTCTGCCTATACTCAGGCTGTTACCCCGGTGGCCAGGTATACTCTCCTACCTAGCTTGGCGCCTATGTTAGCATCTCTGTGATGCTTTCCCTAAGGACTCTCAACAGCCCCTGAGCATCCTCCCTGGAGGAATGCGCTGCCCTGTGTATCAAACTTCCAGTTTACTTTGCACCCAACTCAAAATCAGCACCTGGGCTGGTACACGCCTATAATCCCAGCGACTCAGGAGGCTGAGGCAGGAGGATCCCAAGTTCAAGGCCAGCCTGGGCAACTTTAGTGAAACTGTCTCAAATTTTTTTAAAGGCCAGGGAGGATTTTTTTTTTTTTTAAAGGTTGGGAATATAGCTCTGGGTTCAATCCCCAGAACACAGACACACACACACACAGACACACACACACACTATGCCTGGCCTCAAATCACACCTGATCGCATCATCCTCTGATCCAGCTTCATCTGTCTTCAGAGCAATTTGTAATCTATTCAGCACTAGAATGCAAACCCCCATGGGGTGGGACTTTGCTCTACTTGTGTCTGTATCCCCGGTACCTGTGAACGGATCAGAGCAGGGCACCCTAGAGGAAAAGAAGAGCCAGTGGTCAGAGCCCTTTCAGGAGACTGGGGTCCAGGGTGCAGGATGGCCTGGAGGAAGACGAGCTAGGGACTTGGTGGGGCGGCAGGGCCCAGGCCAGGGTTGGCCTCCAGGTGGAGAAGCAGCTCTGGTGGAGCAGGGAAGCCTGGCTTCTCCTGCCCTTCGGCTCCTCCACCTCCCAGCCCAGCGCTCCAGGGGAGCCTCCATCTCTCTGGGCGGGTTTCTGCCTGAGGACAGGTCAGATGACAGGTGCACGAGGGCCAAGTGAGGCTGCAGCTCCGGGAGAGCAGCACAGTGAGCCCTGACCTTGGAGCCGGCCAGGTGGGGCTTCACGGCCAGCTCCTGCTGCTGATCAGCCACGTGCTCAGGCATGTCCTCTGCCTGCAGAAGCCTCAGCTTCAGCCCCGTGGCTTGTTGGGGCCAAGCCAGGACGCACCTGATCAGCCACCTCCACTGACTCAAGGCACACCTGGGACACTCTGGTCACCTGTGCTCTGCTTCCCACCGAGGAGTCAGTCACAGGGGTCTGGCTCCTGAGCCTGACCTGGCCAAGACTTAGAGAAGGCCCAGCCAGAAAGACCCCTGGGCCATTGGGCCCAGTCCTTCATTTTATAAATGGGAATCTAGGCCCAGAGAGGGTGAAGGATTGTCCATGGACACTCAGCCAAGTGACTTCAAAGTCAGTTCCAGAGCCCAGGTCTCTTTATCCCCAGCCCAGCTCTTTCCATTCTACTCAGGCATGTGGCTGATCCTTGTTGATTAGCTACAAGTCTTTTCCTTCACTGAGCTACATCCCCAGCCCTTTTTATTTTATTTTGAGACAGGGTCTCACTAAGTTGCCCAGGCTGGCCTTGAACTTGTGATCCTCTTGCTTCTGCCTCTTGATGAGCTGGGTTCATAGGCTTACACCATTGTGCCCAGCACAACACTCCCTCTTCAAAGCTCACCATGGACTCTACAGTCATCATTCCTGTTTAACAAATAAAAAATCTGAGACTCAGAGAGGGTGAACAAATTGTCCAAGGTCACACAGCAAAGTAAAAGAGGTCCAGAATTCAACTCCATGCCTTATGTCTCAGAAGCCTCTACTCAGTATGGCCGCACTATCCAAGGGGGGAACAGATATGGTAATGAGTATTTGTAATGAAATGTGATCTGTGTGTTTCTGTTGATAGAGTCAAAAGCCCTGTAAACAGTTTGCTGAGGTTGCCTCGTTCACGATGGTCCTTAACAAGGTATTCATTGTTGGCCCCATTTCCCTGATGAGCAGACTGAGGCTCAGATAGGCAAATTCCCTGCCTAGTGTCCCCAGACCCCTGTCTGTTGGTCTCCAGAGCCTGTGCTCTGTCCACCCGAACAAACCCTGTCTCTTAGAAGTTTCTGTACAAATTTCGGTACATTCCATCTGTGCACATTTGTTGCACCCCCACTGTGTGCCCAGCCCTGTCCTAGGTGTCCTAGGAGTGGAAATGAACAGGACATCATGTCTGTCCCCCCTCCAGCCAGCAAAGAGGTAGATTTGGGGTCCGCAGGGTGCTCTGCCTCATGTCCTCTTGGTGACACTGCTGGGGGGGACTTTGGCACCGGTCCAGCCCTCCCCGCATCAAGTACTCCTGGAAAAGGCTGAGGGAGCGAGGCTGTGACAGCTTCAGGCCCCCAGGGCTGCCTTGTCCTCCCAGCCTGGCTCTGACTCATCGCCCACACCTGGCAGTGGCCTGGGGCAGCGTGGGGAGGGCCAGGCACCTGCACTCTTGGCTGCAGTTCCCACCCTCCCAGCCAGGAAGCAGAGCAAGGTCACCCCTGAGTCCCACCTGACATTGCTGGGCTGGGAACGCTCCTGGGAATGAGGCCCCCAGCTGCAGGGAGGCTGTCCAGGAGCCAGGAGGCCACAGTGAAGTCCCACAATGCCTGGCGCCGCTGGGGCACGAGGGCGGCCCAGCCCTGGTGCTTTGCATGTCTTATCAGCACTGCACTCTCACGGCTCCCCGGGGAGCCCGCTGCACAGAGGAGGAACTGCACATCAGCGGGGCAAAGGGACCGGCCTGAAACCCCCGTGTTAGGCAACATGGGCCTTCCCCAGCTCCCCACCCAACCCGGCTCCGGTGTGGCTCTTCCAGGCCAGAGGAGCCGGCTTGTTCCCATCTTCCCCACCCCCGCCCGTTGCTGTCCATCTTTGGCCATCTTTAGCAAGATGTCCCTTCTTATCATCAGAAGCAGAAATCACACCGTTCTCCTCCTTTCCTCCCTACTTTACTCAGCCCTGCCCTGGCCTTCAGTCGGAGGCTGATTGTGTTCTCTCTCTGTCTGAAACCTGCAGTGGCTCCCCATTGTCCCCAAGAGAAATTGTCTTCAAGGACCTTCATGAACTGGGACCTGCCCATTTGTCCAATCATGTCACTCCCTGATCTCTGCTTGGACAAGTTAGGGCACCCCTCAGGCCTGGCTTTCCTGGTGGGGACGACGACAACGCCTCACACAGTGATGAGCTTGAGGAGGCAGATGTATGTGGAGGACCCAGCAGGCACGCACTCGGCGCTGACTGGGGCTCCTAAACCTCCCTGCCCTCTGACGGGCTGAGCGGAGGCTGGGGTAGAATCACAGTGTGCCACACAGACTCTGCTTTCAGCCCAGCTGGGACCAAAGGCTTTGTGGTGGGTGGGCTCAGGACTCTCAGTGTTACTGAAATTCATCATTTCTTTTTTTTTAAATATATTTTTTAGTTGATGGTGAACACATTACCTTTATTTTATTTGTATGTGGTGCTGAGGATGGAACCCAGTGCCTCATGCATGCTAGGCAAGCGCTCTGCCACTAAGCCCCAGCCCCAGCCCCTGAAATTCATCATTTCAAGAAATTCGGGCCCAGTGCACCTGAAATCCCAGTGATTCGGGAGGCTGAGGCAGGAGGATTGCAAAATTCGAGGCTAGCCTCAACAATTTGGTGAGACTCTGTCTCAAAATGAAAAGAAATTTAAGAGGGGAAAAAGATAATAAAATTAGTTCAGTGATAAATTTTTAGTATAATTTTTGATACCAGTATAAAGGGATTCTGTAAATATTGATATGGGTGTGTTTAAGGGAAGAAAGAATTTGGGGGCTCTGGTTTGTCTTCAGAACCCCCCAAGGGGTCCACAAGGGGCATTGCTGGCCAGGTCCTGAGTGGTACCAATTTATGTGAAGGGCAGGTGGGCAAAGCAGGTTTCCTCCATATTGCAGAATAAAGCCCTGCTTCCTGGAAATAAAAAAAAAAAAAGGGCTGAGGATGTAGAGCGCCCCTAGGTTCCATCCCTGGTACTGCAACAAATAAAAACATCGTGAGAAGTTTCAGAGTAACGGTAGCTGGAACCAGGACTGGGTTGGTAGGTGGAGAAACTGGAACCAACTTTCACAATAGGGTCACTTTTTATCTTGACCCAAGCTAGAAGGTAGATATCCCCCCACATAGAAAGGAAAACTGAGGTCAGAGGGTGGAGGTCCACCGATGGTATCAGGGACAGGACCAAGTCTGCTAACTGGCTGTGAGGCTCTAAAGGCCACGCTTCCTCCTCTCCTGCAGCAGGGCCCAAGCTTGGAGGATGGAGAGGATCTGCTGAGGACAGAAGGGACAGGGGGACAGGGAGAGGGGGATGGAGAGCTTGAACAGAGGCCCAGCCGCAGATGGTTCCAGAATTCCAAGCAGGGGCAGGTGAAGCTGCTGGGTAGAGGTCATCCATGATGAGCAGAAGAGCCTGGCCTTGACCCCCAGGGGCCTTCAGGTCCCAGGGAAACTGAGGACCTGTGCCTCGCCCCACCTCCACAATGCAGAGGGCAGCGAATGGCTGGAGGAGGGCTGAGGGAAGAAGGGAGGAGGCCCAGGGTGGGCAGCAGCCACCATCCCTCTGCTTGGCACCAAGTCCCCACCGCCAGCCCTGCCTGCGGTGCAGGTGGGAGTGGCTAGGCTGGGGCTGCGCTGGTGGCCCTGGTGCCTAGGCCACAGAGAAGCGCTGGGCCTCGCAGCTGTGATGTCAGCCGGCCCTTCCTTCCTCCTGCATGAAAAGGTCACCTATTTTAAACTCTTTCTCACCCCACCCTGCCCTCATCCCCCAAAGAGGATGAGTTTTTCTAACCTAGAAGGACAGCTCAGCTAAGTCTCCAAACAGCTCTCGCCCACCCACCCAGCCCCCCAGGAGGGCCCAGGCTGCAGGAGCCCAGCTTTAGTTTGTTTTGTTTTGAGACTGAGGATGAAACCCAGCAGCACTCTACCACTAGCTGCATCCCCAGCCCTTTTTGAGACAGAGTCTTGTCAATTGCCCAGGCTGCCCTTGAACTTGTGATCCTCCTGCCTCAGCTTCCTGAGTAGCTGGGATCATAGGCGTGTGCCACCTCACTTGGCCTAGTAGCTTTTCATTTAATAAATATTCTGAGCATCTGCTCCTGCCAAGAGCCAACCTAAAGCCCCTGGGGACAGATCCCTGCCTTCTTGGAGTTTACATTTAAAATAAAGTGTTGAGCCAGGCCTGGTGGCATAAGCCTATAATGCCAGCAGCTGGAGAGGCTGAGGCAGGAGGATCATGAGTTCAAAGCCAGCATCAGCAAATGTGAGGCACTAAGCAACTCAATGAGACCCAGTCTCTAAATGAAATACAAAATAGGGCTGGGGATGTGGCTCAGTGGTTGAGTGCCTCTGAGAGTTCAATCCCCAGTACCAGAAAAATAAAATAAAGTTTTGAGATTGTGTGGTGTCCCACGCCTCTGGAGAGGCTGAGACAGGAGGACCATGAATTCAAAGCCAGCCTCAGCAGATTAGCAAGGCACTTAGCAACTCAGCAAGACCTTGTCTCTAAATAAAATACAAAAAAGGGCTGGGAATGTGGCTCAGTGGTTAAGCACCCTTGGGTTCAATCCCTGGTACCAAAAAAAAAAAAAGATTTTGTTTTTAGGTACTAGAGATCCAAACCCAGGGCCTCTAGAATGCTTAGCAGAATTCTAATACTGAGCTATACTCCCAACCCCAGAGCTTGCGTTTTAATAAAAGAAAACGGGGTTGAGGGGTGTGCAGGACAGTGACAGAGCATTTGTGTAGCATATGCTAGACCCTGGGTTCAATCCCCAGCACCAACACCAGGAAGAAAAACAACAAGGACAAATAAACACGTCAACAAATACAGAGGCAGGATAATTTCTAATGGTGGCCACTTCCCCAAAGAAAATAAAACAAGACAAGAAGATAGTGACTGAGTGGCAACTTTAGAATGAGTTGTCAAGGAAGGCTTCTCTGAGGAGAGGACAAAGATTTGGGGAGGAACATGCCCAAGAGAGGAAACAGCAGGTTCAAAGGCCCTGAGGTGGGAATGGGCAGGGAAGTTAGAGCCTGGTTCTAAAGGTGGGGTCCCCAAGCCAGCAGCCTCACGGTGGGGCGGCTCGTCAAAAACATACACTTTCCTGAGCAGCCTCAAACTTACTGGAAACTCTGTGGGTGGGAGCCAGCAAACAAGGCTTTTAACAAACCCTCCAGGTGGCTCTGAAGCACCTTCAAGTTAAGAATCACTGGTCACAGCTCAGAGCCACCTGGCTGTGGGGTGGGAGGCTGCACGGTTAGCCACATGGGATCCTCAGCCTCACTGTGGCCTGTCCATTGAGGCCCAGCCTCGCCATCCTGGCCACTCAGAGCCCTCGGAGGCTCTCCAGATTTCCTGTTGGACTCAGGAGGCTCCTGGAGACCCGCTTCCCCAGCCTCCAGCCTCCCCCCTCCCTCTCCAGGCTTACTCTCCTACTCACCACCGTCCCCAGCCTCGGACACACTGTCCCTTTGTCTAGAATACTTTCTCAGCGTCTTCACTTGGCTCATTTGCACCCATCCTTCAACACATAACCCAGAATTCACCTCCAGGAACCCCTCCCTCTCTGATGGCCTGATCAGGGTGAGAGGCCAGGGCCACTCTGCCCCCATGCCGGCCGGCCAGCCCTGCGCTGCTCCTAACGCAGCATTCATCACATAGTGTGGCATTAGGCGGGGAAGGAGAAGAGTTCCAAACATTCCTCCTTGGGGGGCTGAGGGTGGAGCTCAGTGGTAGAGCACTTGTGGTGGGTGGGCCCAGAGACTCAGTGTTACTGTCCCTTACACACACACACACACACACACACACATATTTTCCCTACTGAATTATACAGATGATACATGAACTTGCTTTTATTATAAAAAATACAGTACAGCTGGGCATGGTGGCACACACCTGTAATCCTAGCAATTCAGGAGGCTGAGGCAGGAGGATCACAAGTTTGAGGCCAGCCGCCTCAGTAATTTATGGAGACCCTAAGCAACTTAGCAAGACCCTGTCTCAAAATAGAAAATAAAGGGGGCTGGGGGTGTGGCTCAGGGGTTAAATGGCCTTGGGTTCAGTCCCTGGTACTAAAAAAAAAAAAAGTACTGATAGAGTAAAAGCCCTCCTTCTTCTCCTTCTTATTCTTTTCTAACCCCCCTGCCCTTTCCAAAAATAACCCTCAAGTCTAGTTTGCTGTCTCTCCATTCATACATTTTTTGATGCATCACAAACATATGTTTGTAATTGGAATCAGGTGCATAAGTATTGTTCCAAGACGTGTTTGTTTTTGACTTAGTGTCTTCAAGGTCATCTGTGCCCGAACATGAAGATTTACCTCACTATTTTTTTAACCACCTCTTAAGTACGAATGTTCTGTTGTTTTGAGGTCGTGCCCTAAATGTATTCATCACTCGTTTATTTATCCTGTATTTTATGATGCTTTGACATCCTCGGGCCTGGGAAGTCCTGAAGTGCTGCCCTTCCCAGAGCCAGCCAATTCCTGGCGGCAGGAAACAACTTGCTGGGTGTGGTGGTGCCAGGTGCCTGTAATCCAGCTCTTACGAGAGAGTTCAAGGCCAGCCTGGGCAACTTAGTGAGGCCTTTCTCAAAATAAAATAAAATAAGGGCTGTGGATATAGCTCAGTGGTAAAGAAGTGTTCCTGGATTTGAT